GGCACTTCCGTCAGAGCCTTAGGGTCCCATGGAGGGAGAGCAAAAGTGACGGCTTTGTCCAAGCATGGTGGAGTTGCACCAAGCTATGGCAATTTCAATGGGGAAAAGTAGTACCTCAAAAAACGTGTTGCTTTTTCATAGTAGCTATTTTCAAACAAACCCGTATCATCAAGCACTCGCAAAGAACTGGCGATCGCTGATCACTGCTGATCACTGCCAGCGGACAATAGCCCGGCATTGCTTTTGGTGTGAAATGGTTCTGTCAATGGGCTTTTCCAGGAATATTCCTATATAGTAGGTGTTTGAATCCATTACCATTGACCTATCAAAATATGTTGAAACGCCGCTGCAACTTTCACATGCCCCTTAAAGCTGGGCCTTACCCGCAAGCATTCAGAGTCACCAGAGTACAGCGAAGACCCGAGGGCCAGAAGCGCGGCAGCAATGCCGCGGCCTGTAGCTGGCCCCCAACCAGCTCAAGATTTCTGTGAGGTGGTTTACGCCCATACTATCATTTCTATATCACGCAACATGTATACATATATATGTGTGTGTGTATGTGTGTGTGTGCATGCAAATGATTAACAAACGCATATGTGCGCAATGTGTTCGTACATGTATATGTCGTCACATGTCATTATACATATATATATATGTGTGTGTGTGTGATTGTGTGTGAATATGCGATCATATACTAAAAATCCAACATGGCACTGGACAATCTCCCATCTAGATCCATTTATATACAATAGGTCGATGATGTTCCCCATGAAAATGCTTATTTATTCCGGGGATTTTCCAGCCTCTTCCCAGGCGGCATTGGATGCCGCCGCATTCAGGGCCGAATTCAGGGCTACCTTAGAAGCTGGAGATAGCATCTCTGCCTGTGGACATGGATGTGAACTGATGGATTTTGACCAGCAATATTGGTGATTTATGGTGATTTAATTGGCGACAAAAGGAACTGCAAAATACCAAAGATTCATAGATTGGGGCCAATCAGATTGGGGGAATAAGTTTTAATAAGTTCCTAATCATTACCAGCACGTCAAGGGTTTGATGGTTTCCAGAGTCCCGCAGCATGTTTTTGTTGCGCTGATCGGCTCTTGTTCTGCGAAAAAAGAGCAGGACCTGGGCCCTTTCCTGAAACACCACTGATGGAAAATGGTGGAAGCATTTTCTGGATACCCCAAAAATAAATCAATGGTTTACGTGAAAGTACCAGACAGATCCATAAAGTAGCCATGAAAAGTGATGTGATAAGCACATATTGAAAAACAATTAAAAATCGGTGAAATCTCTGCGCAGGACCCAGCCCAGGCTCTCTACATATCTATATAGCTAGCTACAGCAAAGGGCTGCCCACAGCCCTTTGCGGGATCTGTACTGGTGAGACACTCTGGGATGCTTCAGGGCGCTGCACTTGCCAGCTTGGCGTTACATCACTTTGAGTTTGACGTCTAAAGACAGGAGGAAACAACCAGTGACATCCAGTCAGAACTAGCACATACTGACAACATGCTGAGCTGAACTTGGAGTCTTGTCATGCCAACAGGTCAGGCCAAAATCATGCAGCCCTATTAATGCCAAATCCCGGGATAGTCCAACTAAGCACATCCCAGCAACTCAGTCCACGTCCACAGACAGCATAGGCGTGGGAGGCGAGGCAAACTCCCACAACAAACTGACGAACTTGGATCGAGGCTTGGGGTAAGCAAGGTTCAGCTCGAAAGCTTCAGGCTCTATGATCTCTTCCGTGGGTATGGGCTGAATGGGCTGGCGCTGTGACTCACCAGACGGAGCTTTGGCCACGGCACGTCTTGCACGATGCCTGGCAGGCTTCCGAGCGGCTTGCTGATCAGCCATCAACTGGCTACCCATCTCATCCATCTCTTCAAACTTCCCAGGTGAAGTCTGCTCAGCTTCTTCCGCAGCTGCTTCCACGTCTTCCCCCGATTTTTGGGGCACCTGGGAGCTTTCAGAGCTGCTTGGGCTGCCGGAAGTGGATCTCGTGGTGCCAATGCCAGGGGCATGCCGCCCTGCAGGCGAGGCGGCCTGGGCCGCGTCGCATGTGTCCGGCCCATCTGAGTCGTCATCGGAGAGGGGCCGAAGCTTTCGCTTGCAGGGACGAGGCATGGCTGAGAGATTTGGATTCACTTGAACCGGCCTGGATGACAGGATGATTCAGGATGATACAGGATGATACGAGATGCAAACGCCATTCTGCACAATTGTGCTCAGGGAAAGATTCAGAAATTCTGATGATTCAAGCTCAATTAAAAACATATAGGCTATGATAGACTATGCATGACTATGCTCTGGGTAAACAATGTTTATACTGCATATACAGCGTATGTATGTATATATATAATTATATATATATACATATGTGTGTGTGTGAGTGTGTGTTTATCATTTTTCTGGGTTTGGGTGCTTAGACCATTCGATTTACTGGCTTTAAGCATTCCAGGGCCCCTGCTGCATCCGGCTGCGTAGTGCAGCTCAAACGACTGAAGAGGTGAGTGGCAATGCGCCAAGCCTTGCGACAAGCGGAGATGACTCCACCTCAGACGCAGGCACCTGTAGTTTTACAACCATGGAATGGCTCAACCACATCAGCCAAAGACTCATAAGAATCTCTGTCTATAAATTCTTTCGTGCTCGAGATTAAGCCAGCTTTGCAGCCCAACAGCAGGTTGCAAGGTTCCAGGGTTCCAGGCTCTGGTTTTTGGGCTGGGCAAAAAAGATTACGCACCACTCCCAGACCCAAAGATTGAAACCCAACAGTCTCTGCTGTTGGGAAGTCAGGGTCCATGCTTTACAACAAGTTGGAATTGAAAGAGGTCATCCCATTCTTGACTGTTTCCCTTCAAAGTCCGAAACAATCCGACATAACCCGACACATGCAGGTTTCAACTGCAAGAAATCGTGGATTTGTCCAATGTCGCCAAGGAAAAACAAAATGAAAGTCTCATGTTCAGCAGTTCATCTACATATTGGTCTAAGCTAATCCAAGGGCCTGACTGAATCCCACTGCGTCCAAACCTGAAGATTCTCATCCCGGAGGGAAGAAAAAAAGCAACGCCTGAAGATCCTGAAGCCTCTAAAATGGTCAATTTCGACCCTCCCTTATCCTCCCTTGGATTATCTTTTTTTTTAGAGGATACCATTAACCTAGCAACTGATTCCAAATATACATATGTTTTCTGTTCAAAGCTCCATTTCACCTCCAGGACCACTTTGGGGCATGGCACAGGGTAGTACTATCCTCTAGATCCCAGATGGCCACATTCCCTCAAAAGGATCCATTTTATGACGTCTCGACATGCATCATCCTCAAAACGGAAATAGTATGTACATAATAGAGGCACATGGAGATACAGAGATATTAAGGATATTATAGGGATACGATAGGGATATTGATATATATATATATATATAATTATATATATATAGCGGATGATGATAGAGTCATTGTCATAGCCCCAAAGATCGCTTGGAGATCTCCGCTGCCCAGTGGCGCAACTCGGAAGTCATCAAGTTCTGCATCGCTTCCCTCCATCGTCCGGCCTGGTGCTTCATCCATTACGGCTGTTGTAACATGTGGTAACTTACCAAGTGGGATGAACCACCAAGGACCTGGTGACCTGGGTCTTTGCTGGTCTTTGTTCCTGGGATATGGGTAGATTAATGTAGATTATGTGCCTTCTATAGGATACAAATGCTAAGGGCCAGGGCCCAAGAACGCAGCTGGTGGAATTGGCCTGGGGGTTCTATGCCCATGCTCTGACAAACACCATCCAAGTTTGCGGGCGTTGGATATGTGAGCCTAGAAACTTTGAGCCTAGGGCAAAGCCCAGATAATCCTACTAAGGTTGATCATCTCTCTCGCTCTCTCTCTCTCTCTCTCTCTCTCTTTCCATCGCCATCTTCAGGAGTTCAGCTGAGCTAAAGGACCACTGATTCAACAAAAATCACAACATTCAACACTTTTGCTCACGACCCTTCTGCGCGTAGGTTGCACGAAATAATGCATTTGACTTTGGTACCCAATACATCCTCAAAAAATCAGAGATCCCAAGACCTCATGAAATTTAAGACTAAAGGCGAGATGTAGACCAAGTATATACGGCCAAAGGACTGTGCACGTCAAAGGGTGAATAGCACCTCATCAACCATGTTTTTTCCTATTAAAATCACCATTTTTGGGATGCCCCTTTTTCAGACACCTAGCTTCACCCCACTGCCATTGCTGCAACTGGTCTCACCTTCTCTTGGGTCGTGATGACTCCATTCCCTCAGCTGCATTCCCATCAAACCATAATGGGACAATTAATAGGTGGCCCCGTATAACTCTGTCCAATTGAAATGGTGTCCATTGCGATGAGTTGTCGTTGATCATCGACACTGCCGAGAAGGTTTGGGAGACGAGTAATTAAAGGTGTTCAATGGCTGTCTGCCTTCTGTTTTGCGTTTGAGATACCTCCTCGTTCCTTTGGATCCAAAGGATCTACAACACATTGCAACACCAGTCCAAGCTCCGCATTTTGGTTTTGCCTTTCAGCATGCTGCAGTGAAACTTCCAACATCTGGCCAAAGAAGTGTACTCCCACCTCGCTGGGGCATTCCATTTTTGAGCCACGCAGCTTCGCTGCAAAGCTTCGGAGGCCATGACCATCTGACCGGGCCCAGCGGGATCCAACGTGTCCGGTTGGATCGGGACCGTGGGACCGTGGGACCAAGAATTCTTCAAGGTCTGTGCTCCTTGATGCAGGGCAGCTGTCAAGTAGCCAGCTGTGCGAAAAGTGGCACCAAACAGTTGCAGAGAAGCCTCGGCTTTTTGGAAACAGTGGGGATCAGAATTTGAGCTACGACCTACGACATCTCGAGAGAATCCTGACAATGGACAAAGCAAGCCCCAGAATCTGATAGAATTTGTTTACAGAGAAGTTCACAAGTACCCCATTCAAAAATTCATGGTTCCTCACAAGTCGTCCACGTCGTCCCAGCCAACACTAAACTGAATGATCCAAACTCATCCAATCCAAAAGAATGTTCTCCTCAATCTGATCGCAGCTTTTCGGTGTGTCTTAGGATCTGTGGAAGGAAAGGCCACAACAGCCGAAGTCGGATCCATTTCATTGGGGTTTGTCAACCAAAAGCCCCAAAAAAAAAGTACCAAAGGTGATTTATGATCAGTTTCCCATTACCTTCTGGTCATTTAACATATAGCCTAGCTATGGAAAAATGACCCACTAGCAATTCATGAAATTTAGCCACTGCTGATGGTCCAATGTGGTCCATCAAGACTTGTTGGATTTGTCGGGACGCCCAGGGGTCCCAGGAGGTGGGGGAAATTGGGGGAATGGGGGGCACATTGCCACATATATCCACATATGCCATGGATGCAAGACCCAAACTGTGAGCCGACCTGTTTCTACCTGTCGAATTCAGAATTCATAAGAAGCACAGATGATTTCTCAACAATTCATGACAACAGCTTCCGCAAGGAATCGCCCAGAAATCACCAGAAAAAATACGACAAATGAATCAAATGAATGATACCTTGAATCATTTTTATACCCAATTCTCAACAAATCTGCATAGTACAACGAAAATTGATGCGACCCTCCTGTATGATCGGACCCAAAGAAAGCTCGACAGCGACCCGACAGCTCCCCAGCTTCTCAACAGCGGAGGCACGCCTGATTTCTAATGCTGCCACGTCTGCACCCATTCTTTGGGGATAGATAATACATGATAATGGGATACCAAATGTTTATCTATACCATTATCATTATATTATTGATAATATCCATTATTACTATCATGATAATACCCCAAGATCAAGGTTCTGCTTGACGCCACTCCCGTGGGCAGTTGCTGCTGCAAAGACTCAGTCGCCAAAGGTTCACCGAAGGCAGTTGTCGGACATTGCGGCAATGCCACTGGGAACCTTCGCAAATCTTCGCGACGGCTATACGGCTGTACAAAACGGGCCTTCTCTGGGAATCCAAACCAGCAATATGAACATATATTATATGAACTATTGAGGAATGAGTAGTGAAACCAGAAAAAAGAAAGTTCAGGAAACAAAACAAAATGCCTACAAAAGGTACTACAGTAGCAGCAAGCCAGCACATTGGAAAAATCCCCCAAGAAAAAAAAACACTCCCTCACAGCTCTCCCTTCACCTAATTCAAGCCGGGGGCTGCCCCCCGGGGGCCCATGTCGTCACACCGGTCTTCCCAACTAGAATATGAGTTATAAAATGTTATAAACCAACTTAGCTATCATAAATCATCATAAATCATCATTACATTGCTCTTCGTTTAATCACTAGAAATCACCAATTTCCTAACGGCCCTTCCTGGGGCACCAGAGATGTTTCGCCCTGAAGCTGTAGATGCCTGGCTCCAAGTTGGCATCCTGGGAGCGAAGCAGGCTCAGCAGGACGGCTTTTCCACACAAAAATGTTGGGTGGAAAATGTGGAAATACTATGGAAAAAAATATTGGGAAACATATATGAACATGTCTGAAAATATTTAAAATATATATAATAAAATATATGGGACAATGGTCATTTACCTTCGGGAAATCCAAGAGCTTGCCAAATCTCGCTGTTTTATATTAGGGTAAATCATCTTTGGCAATGGGCTAGAGAAGGGCTATTTTCAATAGCTATGTTGGAGTGCCAGAGGGAAAGACATCAGAATCATAAGACCACTCAGTGATCTTCTCAATGATGGCCACCCCAAGAAGCTCACAACTCAACTTACTTCATTTTTTAATATTAGCCATAATCCCATCCCCCTAATATTAGTTAAACACCCCCAAATGGTCCCAATTATGTCAAAATTCCCTACTAAACCATGGTTTCTGGGAGGATGTTCAATATTTAGGGGGAAGGGATTAGTTTTTAGTTCACAGTTGGGGTACTGAAAATAAGGTCAATTCAGTCACCAGAACTTCCCATCAACATTGACTGCTTGCAGACTTCTACGTCTATAAGTCTATAAGTATGTTTTGAAGAAGCCCTCGATACCTCGCATCAAGGAATGAGCTCTTCCGCTATGACTTGAGATATCTTGCTACAGCAGAAATTGCTTTAGCGGCCACCCCTACGTCCCAAGAAATGGCTAGAATTATACATGATTTGCTCCTCCTACTTCGGGGCCACAATCAAACACTCGGCCATTTTGAGCCAGACCACCGCCTCACCACTCGCTGATACTCATACCGAGTCTTTTGACGGAGAGACTGCTGATAATACACCAGTTCCCACACCCAGCGCCAACTTCAAGAATCAGCAGGGAATCAGTTTGAATCAATTTGGTCAAGCTATTTCTGATTCTCGGCAATTGGTGATGCTCAATGATGCTTATCTGCTTGAGAAGTGGAACTGGAAAGCAAGCGGAAACTGCGACTCGTCTAATACGAGTGAGTTGAGACCCTCTTGCGCCGACATGGCAGCTTCAGGCGTCACTTCTTCTGATCCAGGATTTTAACAGCTTCGTCAATCTTGTGCTTCAACTTCTCGTCTGATTCCAAGAGGCCCAGAATCTCAGTATTGGAGAGCCTTAGTCTCAGTCGGCGATGGAGGTACTGTATTAGTTTCCATTCATCCAAAGAAGATTGCGAAAATTACTCCTTCACTTCACTTCCATGCTTGGGCCAAATCTTTTGAATCCGACACAAGCCTGCACTAAGAGGAGGAGAGACAAATGTGCTTGAAAGGGACCAACCAGATACAACCAGAACCATTAAGACCCATCGTTTTGAGGCAAGCAGAAAGAATCAGAAAGATCTTTTTACTGTGTCTGTTTGCGAGTACTGCAAGTGTGTGCGATTTTGTGACCGTGGAGAATGGTGGATTTGGACGCAAGTCGGGACTCAAGAAGCCAAAGAGCTCCAACATCATGCCGGTGAGCTTCCCTGCCAGGTCCGGCCGCAGCCGAAAGTTGCTGGCATAAAGCCGCTCCCCAAGTTGCTGCTTCTGCTGCTGTGGGGGCATCTTCTCAATTGCCTCCTTGTTGAAGGGCCCCAAGGCTGCTGGTGGCGGCATCGGTGCCGGCATGCCAGGCATTGGTGCCCCAGGGGCGCCAGGCATTGGCATCATGGGGCGGTGTGGCATGGCGTGTGGCATGGGGTGTGGCATGGGGTGTGGCATCTGCCCTGGCACGCCGAAAGGGCGCATGCCCGGCATGCCTGGCATGCTGGGCACACCGCGGGGGCCCTGGGGGAACGGGTACACAGGCATGCCCCCTGGCATGCCAGATACAGGCATGGATGGCATACCAGGCATAGGACCCATGGGGCGCATCATGGGAGGAGCTTGAAATGGTGAAAGTGGTCCAGGGATTATGGTGGCTGCAACCCCTTTTCCGCCTTTTCCTTTACCCTTTCCTCGCCCTCCGCCCTTTCCTTTGCCTTCAGCTTTCCTGAGTGACAAATCCATTGTTTGGCAAGACATTGCAAAAAGCACAGTAATTAGCAAGACTCATCCAAACAGTCCCCAAAATATTCAATGAACATCTCTGATAACAATGTACATCTATGTTGAAATCTATACTCTCCCGCATTTATCTACCAGCTTTCTTTCTCCTTGTGCCGCCAGGTTTCCCTTTGGCGGTACTGCCATCCGCTCTCTCACCTCTTCCCCGGCGTTCCGAGAAGGCCACGTTCAACGCTTTGCCCTCGAGCTCCTGGCCGTTCAGCTCCTCGATGGCTTTGGTGGCCCCCTCCATGCTGGACATCACCACGAAGCCCACGCCACGGTTCTTCCCCGTTTCCTCATCACACCTCAAAATGACCTCGCTGAGATATGGTTTTTGTTGAACCCTCGCCCCAAGAAAAAGGAACGTAAAGGGGATCCAAGGGGTATCATCCCATTGGAGGATGGGATTTGAACATAAAGAAAACTGAAATCGCCAAGCCAGTCACTGCCAGGATGGTGTCAAAGGGCTCCATCAACTCTCGCAGCTTCTCTGCTGTCACCTCTTCTGCAATGTTTCTGATGCAGAGTCTCACACCCTTGTCCTTGCCCTTGCCTTCACCTGTCCAGCTGGTCCACGTGCATGTGCAAGTCCAGCGGATGGAAAACAAGCATGTACATGTCTAATGTATACTTATACATATGATTGTGTATATATACATACATATGACTATACATATGACATCATATGACTATACATATGACTATACATATATATATATATATATCTGTGTGTGTGTTATTTTACATATGTATATATATACAAATATAAGATTATATATATATATATGTTATATCATACATATATATATATATAAATACATATGATTGTATTATATATATATGTTATGACATATATATATATATACGTATACTGTATATGTGTGTGTGAAGGGCACAGGAGAAAACAAGCACTTTGGCTAGGCTATGACGCAGTCTGTCTCCATCTGTCGCGTTTCATGCATTTTACATGCCCATCTACGGCTGATTAGTCTGTACATCTTTGTATATGTGTAAATATAATATAAATATATACATACATGCACCATATCATTTTTTTACATATAATACCATACAATTTTCGTTATCATAGATTAATCGTTATATACATTTATTCGGAGGATTTTCCCAATATGTTCCGTTTTCCCCCACCTTTGGCTTCCTTCCTCTTCTTCCTCTCCTCTTCCAGGGCAGCCTTTCGCTCCGCCCTCGTTTGAGCTCGCTGGACATAGAGCAAATGCTCAGGATGCTCCTTCGGCAGGGCGTGGCTCATCCAGCATATTAACATATGCGTATAGATATTTTTTAGAATGCATCATATAATATACATATATATATATATACATATATATATACATATATATATATGTATGTGTGTGTGTGTGTGGGTGTGTCCATATAATATTCTTTGTACACATAGTCATATACATGTGCATATATATATCCATCGCCTTCTCAAAGAGTTCAGCTAAAGCTCCTTATGCATGCATATATATATATATGCATATATATATATATATGCATATATGTGTGTGCGCGTGTGCATGTATATGTGTGTACTTGTATAAACTAGGATGCAGATTCAGATGAAGGAAAAAAATACACATGATCAAAAATGCATCTATTGTGATTCATTGGTATAACGGTATATGTGCCTCTATATAGATACATGTCATATTTACATTTGTATATATATATACCTATATATACATATATATATATACCTATATATATACATATATATATATACATATATATATATATGGATCAACAGCTTTGGGCCTCAGGCATAATTACCAAAGTTGCAGCTCACCTCATACCCCCGACAGCTATGGCTCTGGTCCTCCTTTCCTGTCTCGCCCTCCTTGTCTCCTGTCTCCTCCTCCTTTCCGTCTTCCTTCTCCTCCTTCTCCTCTTTCTCATCCTTCTTTTCACTTTCCGGTGCCTCATCTGCTTTCCTGAGTTCACTGCATCACTGCAGCCCAGCAATTACCAAAAAAAGAAAGCAAGCAATGTTGATACTGCTAGCCACAAATTACATACTCATCGCCCATGGCTCCTTCAACCTTTGGGAATCTCCAAGGGTCCCAGGCGAATAGTCACCACTGTTGCTTTTTGAGGTACCATGTTGACACATGGGGCCCTCTGATTGATCCGGGGTTATCCCTGAGGGGAAGTAGGAATGACCATAGAGCCATGGGATTTGGGATTGATTTGGGGTTTCCAAAATTTGGGACGTCCCCTTTTGGGATAAAAAGACTGGGGAAAAGCCACCTGACACGCTAAGCATCTCGGTTCCCATCTCCGATCGCATGTCCTTCTTGTGCAGGGCTTCCACAGCAGCCTTAGCAGCCTCCGGCTGCTTGAAATTGACCAGGGCGAATCGCTTGCCATCGTCGGTGTTCCTGCAAGGTTGGGTCTGGCTTCCCGATTTGCAGCTTGACTTCATGTCCTGTTGCTGGTTTCAACATTCAACCCATCTCAAAGATATTAATCAATGGGATTCATTTGGATTATGTCGTATCCTGGTGGGGCTGCAATCACTTTCCAAGCAAAGCTGGGGCTCGAAGTCTTGTACATTGCTCTTCACTGTGTGCCCAAAGCCTTTAGGAACTTTTCGTCTTCCGGTTTTGAATGTTATTGGTTGCTGTATCTTGAGGGTAGCTGTATCTTGAGGTTGTTGTTCCTCGCCTTCCGACGTTTCCAGGCAAACAATTACAAACAGTACTAGTTTCACCTACATTACAAAAGATTGCAAACCATGTGTTTTTCCATTTTTTCCCATGTCTGATGCTATCTTAGATTAATATCATATCTTAGGTTCAGTAATGGGGTGGTCCATGGTTTTCAGCTCTGTTCATCTGTTCATCTGTTTCTCTTGATGTTTCACTGTGTTTTCCATGACTTGGGACTAGTATATAATGGGCGGGGTTCCACCCTTTTGATTGGGGTTTCCCAGGGTTTCCCTGGAAATGTTCCCCTTCGTCTCTGCACCAAGGGTCAAGAGCACCGAAGAAGAGACCTCCCCAAAGTCGCTGAAGATCTCGGCCACCTTCGCGTCATCCCAGCTGGGAGGCATGTTCCTCACATACAAGTTCCTGAGCTGGGCATGTTGGAGGAAGCATTCTACCAAGTGACTACCAAATGCGAAGATACTTAGAATAGTGCTTACAATAGCTATTAGATGGTATTAGATGCTATTTAATGTTGTAACTGATAATATATTATTGGATATGTAATCACATATCTAATATCCTGTCACCATCCATCAATTTACATGATGGACTTCGAATGTTAAATGTTGACCGAGGCTGATATCTGTGGATTACTGAATCGCCTGGGATCGTCATCATTCGAAACCAACCAGTTGAGTTCTGAGGATTCATGTAGAACCATCCCGAGCGTCCTTTGTTTAAAGAGTACGTGTCATATGTGTCACACATACATATATATTTGATATAATATAATTTAATATATGATATAAAATAATATACTATACTAACATATAATGATATAAAATGACTTAATAACATATGATATAATATAATATACTATACTAACATATAATGATATAATATGAATTAATAATATAATATAACATTCTATAACATTCTATTATAAATATATTATATAATATACCATAACATTACTGTTTTTTAAAGTCACTTTGAAGCCGTCACCAAGCCAAGTGGTTTAGCCCACTGACATATCTTCCGTGGTTTAGCCACTGCCAAGATTCGTAAAGGTCTCGTTGATCGTGTCATCTCTCTCCTTGCGGCCCGGGCACATGGCGTAAGGGGCATTAAGGGCCTGCATGATCTTCCTAACGATTCCAAATGAAGATCTCAAGCATTGTCAAACTACCTTCATCTACCTTCTAAATGTTGTGAACCATGCTTTGCGATTTGACTCTGAATCCGCCTCATTCATCCATTCCTCGTGGCTTTAAACTTTAAACTTAAACATCTTTAAACCCTGAGTCTCCTCTCTCTTGATGAAGGGTCCCACGAAAACGGTGCTATCTGCAATCTTCATGCCATTGACTTTCAAAATCGCTTCTTTGGCCGCTTCTTCTTTCTCATAGTGAACGAAGCCATAGCCCTTAGACTTGCCGTTGTCGTCCGTGGACACTTTGCAGGAGAGGATGTTGCCTAGGCCAACGTCCACCATGGGAACAAGGTGAACTTCCCCAACATCCTGCAGCATGCTCCCATGCCAAGGGGCCAAAAATGCTGAAGGTGTCATGCAAAGCCTTGTTGTCAATGGTGGGGTCCAAACCCTTCACAAAGACGTTGCTGGCCGTATTTTTCCTTCGCTCGGGGTCGCGTTGACTCCACATGACCCGGCATGGTTTGCCCTTGATGCTCATGTAGTTCAGCATTTCCAAGGCTCGCTCAGCCTCCTGTTCGAAACTGGTGGATGACCTTGGGTACCTTTCCTTGGGGTGTCATGGCGTCCTTCCTGCAATGGTTCTTGCAATGGCATCAAGAACCGTTGAGACGGCCTCTCTGCCAGTTCTGGAAAATGCACATTTACCACTTATAAACTACATCCGCAAATTCCATCAAATTCCAACATATCACATATCCACAATTAAATTGATCACTAATTATCTATACATCCCCAAGCCCTTGCCCCTGGCCCAACCTGCACGCTTCCAAAATTCACATAGCCATAGCCCAGGGATTTGCGGGTGACATTGTCCCGACACACCCGGCAGGAGGCCACAGTTCCCGCTTGGCTAAAGGCCTCATAGAGCGTGGCCTCACTGACTTCGGGATGCAAATCGCCTACGTAGAGGCTGGCGAACTGCAGGCCTCAGCGTCGATGCCCCATCAATTGTCAAGGTGGGCCCAAACCCCAATAGCTACGAGTTTGCTATGTTGGTTTCTAACTTGCTTCACTAGGGTTTTATTTATTGGTGGTTGTAAACCAACTTTCAACGGTGGTTGTGGGAATAAACTTGGTGGTGGGATTTTGTGTCTGATAGCTTCAGCCGATTGAATCCATGCTTGACCAATTTGAAGTTGATTCCGCCCCAGCAGTTTCACTGATTCTTTCCGAGAAAGTTTGAACTCTCTAGTTGACCGGGATCTCCTTTGCGAAATTGGCATCTGCACGCTCGGCTACATGCAATCAAGGGGCTATTACTGCTTGCAGGCGCTGCCATGGCTCCAAACAGCTTCAAACGAGGCCATGGGCCTACATCAAAATTACACAGATGTATTCTGCACTGAAAAAGGTAACTACAGTAGTTTTTATACAACCAAACTAAACGGTGTCAGCAAAACATCCAAGTCCGCTTTTCGGGTTAAGCCACCAATTGGCCTGGCTCAACCGCCAATATGGTCGCAAATGATGATCCTTAAAGCTGACCTTCAAATATGTTGATGTAAAATGTATCCAGTATTTCAAACGTAGTGAAAAATATAAGGCTTGAGCCCAGGGCCACCAGCCAACTCGGCAGCTCAGACTGGTGTTTTATGTCATGGGGCCAAGACCAAGATCTAGGTACAAACATCCACAAGGTCAACCTCACAACTCGTAATCTCAACCTGTTCCTGTCGCCAAACGTCGCAGGAAGGCATTGTTTGACCTTCGCATCTCCACGAACTCAATCTGTTCATGTGTTGCTGCTTCTTGTCAGTTGGCGGCCCGCTTTCGAGTCATCAAATACTAAGGTCCCAAGCCAACTGTTCAAAAACGTCGGCTCTTGGTGTCCCATCTGCCAAGTCGTTTTGCAGGTACGGGGCTCTGATGCTCCCCAAATCCCCAATGGCTTTCGTCCCCCCGCCCCCTCACCACGTCTGCAAAGTGGCCCAAAAATAGGCAAGTTGTTCCAAACAAACCTTGCTCATCAAACATCAAACATCTCGGAATATCCAGCATTTTACACATTAGATCAAAGAATAGATCATGGTAGCCTACAGCGAATTCCACCGTACCCATAGCATGAGTTTAAATCATGTTTAATCCCTTTGATACCCATGAAAATCCCTGGTTTTCCATCATTTTCCCATGAAAATCAACTTGCTAAGGTGCCCAAATCAAATGCTGTGGCTGCCAGGACGGCGGCAGCAGCACAGCATGCACAGCAAGGCACTGGCTGGGCGTAGGATTGCCTTGGACCTGTATCAAGGTTCGGCACTTTGAAGATCGTCTGGCGGGTACATGGTAAATCAAGCAGGGCAAAGCACAAAACTCATCAAAACTCTGAATATGGGTATTCAAACTCATCGGATTTTAACTGCAAGTTTTAGTTTTTGGAAAATCATTTAAGGAGGCATTTCTAGTAAGTTAACAGAAACGAGGTATTTAGTTTTGAGATTATATCATGCATCTGAGTTTGTCCATTTCACAGGAGAGTCGTAGAAAAAAATCATTCGGTTTGGTGAGTCCAATCCCACTAGCCGCCGCTAGCCTTACCCAGCAACATGTCCGGCTGCAATCTAATTATTCAGTTATATAGTAGAATGATTATAATATATATTATAATATTCATAATAACATTTATAATGATGGGTGATGATAGAATATGAATGAATATGATAGATGATCATAGAACCATGAATATCCATGAATCATGATACTAGATTCCCACTATAAATGATAGAATCTAAGTCTGACATCTCCATCAAAACATGGCTTTGGGTCCCACAAAATTCCTGAAAAGCGAGCCCTAAAAAGATAGAACTTGGTAAAATCCTAGCAAAATGGTAATCAATCACAATCCTATCTTTCCAAAACATTTCTAAAACATCTAAAACTGGATCTTTTGGGGAGTTACTCTCCTGATATGAATACGGTATATATATATAGAGAGAGAGAGAATGAGAGAGAGTACATTACATTAGTATACACACTATAGTGGTAATTTATCACTATCTTATCTTGGGGGATCCTCCTACTAACGCTACTTGGAAACGGACGGTTTGTTTATCACAATTTAACAAAGTGCCCGTCTTGGATGGGCCTAACATGGCCCATTGTTCCTTCTGGTTTCCAAAAGTCTGACTCTGACCCATCTGCATTTTTTGGCCTGTGGCATCCTGTGGCACAACATGAGACAGTGGAAGCATCCCTCACGCTTCGGATGTTGAAGTACCAATTCAGACATCTGAGGGTCCAATTCAGCATCATTCAATGCCAACCCCAAGCTCCAATCCAGCTGAACAAGGACATGAGGCCACATAATCTTGGGCCCAGTTCATAGGGGGTTATCCAAAAGCATCCCATCTACTGTTTCATCATCATTTTCCAACTTAAAAATTGACATAAATCGGAGGGTATAGGCATGTATAGGCATTAATTCTGTTCAAACCCACCCATTGGTTCACCAAATCCCAGCCAGTTCGGTGCCTGCGGCAGCAATGGAGAGCTCTGAGTGCCGAAACTCAGTCGATAGCTGAACTCCTCTGCGCTTCCCCGACGTTGTGCCGCTGCTGCTGCAGTCTCCGAGCCTCCCTTGGTGGCAATGCACTGACATCCATCTGAAACACTAATATATATAATTAATTCTTGATGTTTCATCATGAAAAATAATGAACATAATGAAAAATACTGAAGTTTTGTATAGTTTTGTCATAACATTCATGTCATAACAGTAGCCAATGATGATCATCAGCAGCATCATCGACAACCACAATGACAACCACAAAACTGGACATGTTGATATGTTCAAAGACTTGGTACCACCAAAGTTCCACCAAACATGGATCCAATTCGTCTATCATGCTTGCTGCTTCGACCTCTTGGGATGGGAGTGTGGAGCCACACGACAGGTGGACTGTCTCTTTTTAATGCCGTAACTGCCCGACTCCATCTGATCACTTCGATTCAGCTGCCGGGAGGGCTTTACAAAAAGTACGCAGCCCGAGCAATTTGGCATCGGACCACCGGAGGGTGCTCAACCCACTGTCTTTTGGCTACCAGGTTACCACCAACTTCCATTCGCAAGTTGGCATCGCTAATTTCAACCATTCTTGGCCCTAGTTCGGCCTTTGGACCATGCGGGGACCTCACTGCGCCAGGGGCGGATAGATGAAGCCGGCTCCCAGGAAGGGCTCGGTGGTGGCCGCCGGGCCCACGGGGCTGAAGAGCTCCTTGCAGGCGGCGGCACCGAAGCAGGGCAGTACTGCCGCTTCGCCGAAGTCGCCGAAGAGGACGTCTTGGGCGATGAGGCCTGCGGAAGATTCTGAATGGTTTTTCGATTTTAGAGTTGATGTGGATCAACATCTTCCATCCGTCCGTCCGTCGGTCTGTCTCTCTGTCTGTGCATGTATGTGCTCAAACCCCAAGCCTGATTCAAGGCATTTCAAGGCCATATTTAGCGAATTTCCCACTTATAAAGTGTTGTAATGGGGCCATTGAAAGTTGCTCTGACTCATCCCAGTGCTGTGGAACAATGTGTTCCCTTTACCTGGGATTTACCATTTCTTTACTGTCTGATGTCAAAATTGTCTGACATTTCTGAATTTATCAAGGGCGAACTACAATTGTGATCCGTTAACTGATGTGACCTGGACATACCTGGACTCATATCTCCATTGATTGGAGGCTCAAACGATCAAAAGCCCTGCAACGACCCGTGCCGTAACAGCCATAACCATCGCTCTGTCCCACCTGTGATGCCCATCATGGCCAACCTGCCATTGTTCAGCTCCTGGTTCTCGGCCTTCCTGAACTGGTTCCAGATGCTCTTCTCATCCTGGCCCGCTCATGGGATTGCGGTGACGAGCAAAGGTCCCAACCGAATTCAGTGCTCAACGAACGTATCTTAATGGTGGGTAGTTGACTCATATCCCAAGTTTGTGCAAGAGTGTCATTTATCTAAAAAAATCAAAAAATGGGGTTGGCGTGTTGGCTCTATGGTGGCTATACACCAGCCCCCAAGCCAATTCCCTTGCTGCACCTCAATGAGGATGTCGCTCCAGCCCAGGATGTCCCAGGGCTTCTCAGCTGGGGGCTTGCAAACCTGCAGGAAACCCACGGACTCGTGGATGGAAAATGAAGGAAAATCCATGGAAATCCAATTCGGTCGTGAGGAAGGTCCGCTGAAACGCCTATGCAACTTAAGGCAGGATTGCCCAAGGTACTACAATGTACTACACCTTCCCCACATGTCACACCAAATTTCGGAGCGAGAAACATAGGTGGTAACCCACTCCAAGCACATGATGGTGAAAACCACCTGCCAGATACCACCCATGGGCATCTGAGTCAAATTCACCAAGGGATTGTTGTCCAAGTGCTCTCCCACCGCATAGTCCCCCACGATGTGATACCCTGCGGCCACGTGAAACCACCCCAGCACTGCCAGCATGGCCACACGGCCATGCTTCAGCTCCATCGCGCGAAGCTGCAAGATCTCCTCCTTGCCTCAGGATACCAAGGTGCGGTGCATTCAAGGCTTTGAAAAAAATGGTTCGAACATGTTCGAACAAAGTGTTGATCAAGAGACTAGATAAAGTAATTAGTAACTAATAGTATGTAGTAGCAGCTAGCAGTAAATAATAGTAATATAATATATACATAATATATAGTAATATCTGTTTAAACTAAGTATGATATGGTATGACTAGAAAAATTATGGGATTGCCAAAAATTATGGGATTGCCAAACTGGGTATCGTACCCAAAACATTCCAAAACTGGGATGGTCTACGCTCCCAGATTCGCCCATGGGTTTTCGGACGGGATCAGCTGGTCACCTGAATCCCTTACTGCACGGCAAGTCGAAAATCATCTTCACTTGGACGTTGAATGATGCGGAAGTTGGACGAATATGAAAATATATATATATATATTCTAAGCACCCACCATCTAGTTCCGAGTACCGTTACTAAGTGTGAACACCAAAACCTCCTCTGAGTTATGCTGTTCTCGTTCAAGCACCCCCCATGACCCGCCAATATACATCCAGGTCCAAATCCAAGTAGCTTTTCTTAGCGGTGATGCCGGCAGGATCCCAGAAATCCTCCGGGAAGGGGCCGCCGGTGCCGGCGATGCACTCCTGCGCGGGGGTCAAGGCGCGCAGGGGCGAGTCGGTGTAGAGGGACCAGTCGCCCCAGGCTTCGCCGGTCAGGCCGTTTTGGAAGAACATGCCTCGGGCAGCGGACCGAAATGGTGATGTTTATGAATGTTAACCAGCCAACATGAGGATATGATGGAGTAACTGATGGGGTATAACTTGGTCCAACCACCCATACTGTACTTACCCACAGATATCTAGGGGAAAATGATGTGCTAAACCATAGGATGGGGTTTCCAACTTGGATGATTACGAGGTCTGCATATGTTAGGATCATGTCCAAGAGCCCAACACTGCGCGAGTGACATCATCTTCCAAAGCCATTTTGGGGACCACAATCTGAGTGAATGTTTGTCAAAACTGCCAAGAATGTAAAAAAAAATAAAAATAAAAACATCTCAGCACTCAAGCTCCATGGTTTATTGTGATTTTGTCCTTTCTTTTCACTACTGAAACTGCAACTTTGGGATGTAACATGGCATAACTATATTTCATTGTTGAACAAAACCGATTTTTTGAAACCAGACTCAGCCAAAAGTCATCCAAAAATGTGCCATCTCTACCACAGTTCTGTTAAATAACCAGACTGGTCAACTCCCAAATATCATCCCAAGCTACCAATGATGGCCATCATGGCCAGTCGTCCGTTCGCAATCTCCGCAGCGAGTTTCTTCTCCTTGGTGCCCGCAGGGGCCTTGATGTAGCTGTTGGGCACACCCAGGAAACCGGCGTTCTCAAAGTCACCGGGAGCACCTGGCTGGAGGAATCTATTGATTGGAGGGGACCCCAAAGGGACCAGGGGTGGTATTTTACGTTAAGATAGGTGATATGTGCGATGTGATGATTTATTTATTGTTACATGAGGTCTTATTTTGAACCATTTCTCAGTATGGTCTATCCAATTTGTTTATTGATTTGATGTTTTAATCTACTCTTAAAGTCAGTGTTGTGGTTATGTCATTCATGTGTCACTATTGCTAGTGTTACCGTATCGTTGTTGTTCGCTCTTGTTAATTGTTGTCTCTATTATAGTTAGTAGTTTATAGATGATTATAGTAGGTTCATCTAGGTTCTATGTATTGTCAATACTATTATTGCCCTTAGCTTTCGCACTGTTGCTTACTATACCGTATACATCCGTATGCATGTATCGTTATATTAATACAAGTACGGTCATGTAGATTTAAATGATTTAACATACATCAACTACAGATATCTGCTGAAAATTCCCAGGCACGCTTGGGATCGTCCACGTACTGGAAGAGCTCCACGGTTCCGGCGAAGGCCACCATCTGAGCCCAGCCACTCAGGGGGACCTTGCTGAATGCAGCGAATCCACTGGGGACGTCACTGAACTTCAGACCCAAAGATGGCGACAGATCTCCTGATGGATGGCTGACAGGACCATTTTGATCAGAAACCCCCAAGGTAATTACCATCTGGTTATGACTAACATAGCCATAGAAAATCACCATT